GTAACAGAGAGACGCTACTTAGTTTTCGACGCGGACGTCAATTCGTCTGAGTTGCTTGAACATCTGACTGTACAAGAGCTCAAAGATTTGGCAGTGAACAGCAAAATCATGGTAGTTACTTCTAAGACTTTCTTCCTTGTTTTCATTTCTGTTCCTGCTTACAGATCAAAAGTGCTACGCTAAGTTTGAAAAAGATTCAGCTTATTACAGCAATTCGAGATGCATTGATTTCGCTGCATTTGTAAGTAGCAAGTGATCATTGGTTTTTTATACAAGCGTGAAATACTTGGCGGCAGTAATCTAACGGCTTTAATTCGTGAAGCAACCGGCCCATGCATTCGAATAGCCGAAACACTTGAAGTTCTACTTTGGCGTTTACAGGTCAGTTGACATCCTCTCCAAAGTGTTACACTGCTGATGCTGAGCAATTTATTTATTTATTTATTTATTTATTCAGAGGCTGTTCTTTCTAAACGGTGAGCAGGAGTTCCATGTTTTTCTTCTTGTGGATATTGGAAGGATCAAGTATCCAAGCTATAGGTGCGCTAGAACAATGCCAGTCTTTGCTTCTCGAGAGGACTTTCTGGCGTATGAGCAGGTCCGTTCCTACTTTGTTATAAAATTTGTCTGACCGTCGAGTTTTCAGGCATTGCAATTGGCTCAGGTGGTTGACATGTCCCTGGAAGCTGGTAATTCTGAGGCTGTAAACTCCTCTTTTCGAAAAGCAAGGACTACACTCGAATTGATCAATGCACACACCGAGATCAAGCATCCATTTTTAGCACGGTTTTCGGCTGCATGGGTGCATGCAACAATCTGTACTGTGGCTGCATCGTTTCTGGAGAAAGAACGCAGGTACGCTCTTTCACCAATGGCGGACAATACTTTTGAACGAAAACTGGCTCTTGACCAGATACGCTGAAGCTGTAAACCTCTTGAAGCAGCTCCTTAGCATGCAGTATTGTCCTGGACGGAGAGGATACTGGACTCTCCGGCTATCTATTGACTTGGAGCACTTACAGCGTTTAGAAGAGAGCCTGCTCGTTGCAGAAAACGGATTAAATGATTTCAACGTCCGAGGAGGGGATCGTGTCGCTTTGCAACGGAGGGTTCTCCGACTAGGAAAACCTCCTAGAAGGTGGAAAGTACCTCCATATGCAGCGCTTTTAAAGAAAAAACACAAGGTGGTACGTACTGTGTCTTCCAGATATTTGGCCTTCAGCTACAACTCTGTTTCTGAAGGTGAGGATTATGGGAAGGCCGCTAAACAATGCCAATGGAATGAAGAGCAGATTTTATGGCTACGATGGGCAACAATGCAGTGTGGAGGACCTGGCACTTCAGTACTATGCCGGAGAAGATGGAGGCGGCTG